GTTTAATTATACTCATGAGTATACATTCAAATGCGGTACAGACAAAAGAGCGATGGATGAACCAAGTGTGAGGGCCCGTTGGCTCTCAGTCCCACTCTTCTGCTGACCCCAGTGCAATCTTGGTACATCCCTCACCTTCCAGGGCCTCAGTCTTGTTACCTTGGTGAAGAGAAGGTTAGACTCCTGCATCCTTTTTGGCTTGACTCTCTATGAAGATTTCCTGAGCGCCTACCAAGGATAAGGTGCTAGATGTAAGGGGTAGAGGAGGTACAAAGATGAACGGACGTTGCCCTATCCTCAAAACTTTCCACTCCGTGAAGGAAGAGAAGATCACACAGAACAAAACCAAATGCCTAGTTACCTCATTTATCTTATTTATTCCTCAGGATTGGCATTGTGCCTGGCACACCGTAGAGGCTGCATCTGATGGGAGGGAATCCGGAGTGGTTCACAGTGTTCTGAGTTGGCTTTTAAAAGGCCATTCAACTCTCAGGGGTTCCCTGATAACATTCTCCAATGTGATGCAAAATCTTAAGCCAACGTTCAATGTTCCTCGTTCTGGTCCCAATATACCATTCAATCTCCATCTCTCTCTTACCCAGAACTCTGCTACAGCCCTGCTGTACCTCAGATATTACCCATAACTTTCTACTTCTCTGCTCACATTCACGCCATCCCTCATCCCGACATGTCCTCCAATCTCAACCCAATCCAATTCCGTTATCCCTCAACATTTCGAATTTCTCCTGTTTTATGAAGGCGGTCTTACAAAGCCTTTCCTGACTCCTCCAATCATATGTTCTCTCTCCCTTCTTTGAAATTCCACAAGATTTATTGACACTTCTGTTATGGTACACTTAGAACTGCATTACTGCCAGGTTATATCTTTGTCTCAAGATAATAATCTGTGACATTAGATGCTACATTATTCATCCATGTTGCCAAACAAATGGTGGGCATTCAGTAGATTGTTTGACAAGACAAATACAGAAAGGACAATCTAGGACTCAGAAACTGAATAAACAGTGGCAGTAAATTAGTACATTTGTGGCTTCTGCTTAAAATGGTGACTATTGCAGTTTGATTCTTAAACCTAGGGTTTGGTTGATAGAATCACAGTGGTTAGAAGTTTAGAAGACAGGCTGGATTCAGATTTCAGGGCCTTGAATGCCAGGGTAATAAAAATGGCATAGGGCACCTGGGTGGCTCAGTTGGTTAAGCGTCTGCCTTCGGCTCAGGTCATGATCCCAGGGTCCTGGGATCGAGACCCGCATCAGGCTCCCTGCTTCTCCCTCTGCCTCTGCCCCTACCCCTGCTGTCTCTCTCTGACAAATAAATAAATAAAATCTTTTTAAAAAATTAAAAAATACAATAAGAGGTTTGGGGCGCCTGAGTGCTCAGTTGGTTGAGCGCCCAACTCTTGGGTTCGGCTCAGAGCATGATCTCAGGGTTGGGAGATCGAGCCCCATGACAGGCTCTGTGCTCAGTGGGGAGTCTGCTTGAGATTCTCTCTCTCCCTCTCCCTCTGTGTCTCCCCCTGCTTGCGAATTGCTCTCTCTCTCAAAATAAATAAATAAAATCTTTTTAAAAATAAATAAATAAAATAAGAGGTTTGATTACAGCAAAAATATATATATGTGGACAGATAAACACATATACATATGTATACATATATTGTATATAATATAATATACAATCTATCACCTAGTTATTATGAGCTTCTTTTCATGTTCAACTTCATTACTGCCCACACAGTCCAATTAAGTCCATCTCCTTCCCATCTCCCAAATAAGTCT